GAGGCCAAGACAGCCCGCTGCACTTAAGGGGCCCTTAAGTGCAGCGGATCTGCTCCTTCCGTGCGCGGGGCTGGGGAGCAACGGTGCGAGGGTCACTAACGGCGCAACGCCGGGCAGTCCCCACTCGCACCGCGCCCCCCGCCAGCACTTCCGCCCACTAGTCAGGTGCCTCGGGCTCGGGCGCCTGCTGCGGCATCGCAGGCACCCCGAGCTCCGAGAAGACGAGCGGCTCGAGGGGCTCGCCCGTCTTGGGATGCAGGCCCCTTCGAGCCAGCTCGAGCATCGACGCGATAGCTCCGTCCCCCCCACTCCCAGCTCCCGCCGACCCCGTCCCAGCCCTCTTGCACGCTCGAGACAGGCCGACCGACAGCCGATTGGGGCGCACAGCGTGCGCCCCGCACTTAACACAGATCAAAACTCGATCCAAGGCCTGGACCTGGTGTCCTGGCCCGACCTCCTGGGGGTCGCATGCACGGGAGGCCAGAGACTTCAACGACGAGGCCGTCGCTGCAAGCCTCCAGCAGGCTCGACATCGAATAGCTCCCCCAGCGAAGACCACAAAGTCGTGATCGGTCGGCCGCCGCGGACGGCGGGGCCGAAAGACAGCCTTCGGAGGCGCACGGAGTATCGGGGTGGAGAGGCGGGCCACGCGCTCGGCAGCCCAGGCCAGACAACGCATCGTGTCCTGGGCCCGAAGCAGAGAAAATTTGTGAGCCTTGACCACGGAGGTGGATCCAAGGAAATCAGCCGCTGCCACGCGGGCGAAAACATCAGCCCACATATTACCGAAAAAATGCTCCAGGGGCTCCTGGGAGGCCAGGCAGGCCTCAAACCCCTCGAGGACGGTCCGATGGGCCTTCGTCCAAACAAACACGGGCCTGACAGGGTCGCCTCTATACAGCTCGTGGATGCTCCGCCAGATGGACGCGTGAGGCGCTCTGGCAGAAGCATGACGACCCTCCCAGGCCATTCCCTCGACCTGCAGCTGTAAATGATCAGTCACGTACGTGGCTGGCCTCTGGGCCCTCTGCAGGGCCTTGAGACCAGCAACGCGCTCGGCCCTGGGCACCGTCTGGATAGGGCCCCCCAGGCTCCCGAACAAAGCTTTGTATGGCCACAGGTCTCGGGTCAATGCTACGACGGCCCAGCCACAGCGCCGTTCCTCAGGGAAATCACTTTCAAGACAGGACCCGTCCCCGTACAACTTCGACGGCCACGGCATGTCGATCGCCCCCCACTCGCGCTCAGCCTGAGCACGTGCAGGCAGCGGCCTGAAAGCAGGCCTCAGGGGCAGCGCGTAGAGCACGTCGACGGCCGAGAAGTCCTGCACCTGGCCCCCGTCGCGCCACGGGGCTGCCTCCAGGATGTCCTTCCTCCTCTTGGCCACCTCCTCGGGGTACGGCTCCGTCTCCTCGTCCTCCTGCTGCTGATGCAATACCGTGCAGCCGAAGATCTCATGCTCGAGGTCGCAGCAGGCCTCCCCGCAGAACTCGCACGAACCGTCGCCGCCGTAGCCAGCCTGCATGCGGCGCTGCGGCGACCAGAACCCGTTGGACTGCAGCTTGGCCAGAGCCCCTCTGTGGCCAGGCGCCAAGGAGGCGTGTCCCAGTCGAAGCGCACGAAGCCACACATGCTGCTGCCGCCTGCCGTCACCATCGGCTGGGGGCGCCTCAGGCAGCTGGTCGAGGATACGATGGCTCTGCCAACGGTCGAGGCTGCGACGCAGGAAAAACAGCACCTCACTGGGACAATACTGCAGCAAACTGATATGCAGGCCCTCATCGTCAACCAAGATTGTAGAACTTGCCATGTTCCAGTTGACTCTCCTGAGGGACAACCACAAGGCCGAAAGCGGGCCCTGCGCACTGGCCCACGTGACGTGAGTGTGGCGGGCTTCCCAGGAGTCACGCAAGCCCATCCAGGCCCGCTGCAGTCGGGAGAGCGTCACACGCCCATCCCACACCCACGCCGCGTACTGCCCCACGATGCTGAAGGTAGCGTGGAATATGGGGTCGAAGCTCCACTGCTGCGCGGCCAGGTACAGCGTCAGGGAGCCCGACCCTTTGTAGCCACAGAAGACGCCAGCCATGGTCCTCATCTGCTGCAGCTCCGTGTCGCTGATGCCGCTGACCGTGGCTCCGTGCCCCACGGATGGCAGCACGCCCGTGGCCCAGAGCCGAGCCGCCCGCTGTCGTCCTGCTCCCTTCTGCAGTGCTCGAACGCTGGCCTTCTTTCCGTGCATGGCCTTCAGGCGTCCCTTCTGCACGGCCCTTGTGGCCGACGACCCAGCTAGGTCGTGGCCAAGATACCGCATGTGCCTCTTGCCAGCGATCTTCAGCAGCCTGGCGTACTTCTGAAAGTGGTAGCTGGTGCGCCTGGACGTCGTAAGGTGCCCAGACTTATCCATCTGCAGCACCAGCCCGAGGGGCCGGACAGCCCTGCAGAAAGCACGAGTGGCAATGGCCATTTCTCGCACCCCGCTCGGGTCGTTGCCGACCCAGCACAGCGCGACGTCGTCCACCAAGTCCTTGGGCTGAACCTGAGGAGCGACCGACATCGTCTGGCGAATGCTGCGAGTCAACAACACCATGAGAAGCGTAGTGGCGTGGGTGCAGCCTGCCAGGATGCCCTGATACGCCCTGCGCGCCACTGAATACGAAGAATACGAGTGCACCGAGCGCAGCTGCTGGTACATCTGCACAAGCATGAACGCCATTCGCATAGGGTAACCACTGGCCCTGCACTCCAACAAAATGGCATCATGCCTGACCAGCTCGTAGCATTTGAGCATGTCCAGCAGCACAATGATGGCGTCGTCATCGCACAGGGTCGCCATCTCCTTGGTGAGCGCCAAATCAAAGGCCGCATCACTCGACGACTTGCCTCCAGTGTGGCCCCAGACCTCTGGTAGCGCATGGGCCTTCTCCCACGCTGCCGAGACAGGCCGCCTCGCCCGTCCCCAGATCCTGACCAGCGTGTTCATCAGCACAATCAGGCGCTCCCCACCCCCTGGCTTGGGGAGTCTCACGAGCTTCGAGAGGAATCTGCCGTCTGGCCACAGCAGGAGGTGCTCGCACCGCTCGAAGAGGCGCGCCATAGCCGTCAGCGCCCCGTGGGAGAGGTGCTCCATGGCCCTGGGCGCGATGTTGATCTGCCCGACGCCTGTCTGCCAAGAGAAACAACGGATTGCCTTGAGTACGTCGGCCGCCTCAAGCCTTGGCAGCTGCTCCCAAGTGTCAGCATCAACAGGTCGGCGAGCCAGCTCACCGCCATGCCGCACCCAGAAGCTTTCCCAATACTCAAGCTTACGATCAGCCAGTACGTACCCATGTTGTAGCCCATTGCCTCCGTCCACGATCTCCTGGAGAGCCTTGGGCTTCATGAATCGGTGAGCTCCCTTGGCTCCAGCCGCAAAAGCTGCCTGCGCCCACTGCCTCCAGCTCTGCATCACGGCCTTCTCATGCTTGGCCTCAGCATCGGAGGAGATACTCAGGATGCGGTCGACCTGCTGCTCGAAGTCTGCCTGCGCTAAGGCAAGTATGCCACGCGAGAAGAAGCCGACGGCCTCGGCGTCCAGGTGCGGCCAGACTCCCTTCCTCCGCCAGATTCTCTGGAAGAAATTCTCGCACTCCAGCAGGTGGCGCGCCGCCTTGGAGTGCACGGCGTCCCACGATAGGTCCTCGCCTGCCCGTCGCGGGGGCTGGTGTCGCTGAGCTCTCGACCGAGGCCGACCACCATCGGAGGAGAGACCAGCCACTCCGACGACCTCCGCAGCAGGGGGTGCCCCATCGCCCAGGCCAGGCACACCGTCGACGTGCGCCTCGCCGACGCTGCCGAGCTCGAAGACCTGCTGCGGGCGTAGCTGGAGCACGAAGCTCTGCAAGGCCACTCGAACCCTCCTGAGGTGACGAGCCCAGCGCGCAGCCTGCGCCCAGGCCTGGGTGTCCGCCGACCTCCTGCTCCAGGCGCCTTTCACGACAGGGTGAAAACTCGCCAGCTCGAAGGTCGGGGGGCCTGGCACCGTGGAGTACCCCGCCACGTCCTTCACGACGTCGTAGCGGCCCCGCAGCTCGAACTCGATGCCGCTGAGCACGACGTCCCAGGCCCTGGTGATGCCCTCGCTGTGCGACGCGCTCTGGATGATCGCCAAGATCGGGTCCCAGTCGGGGGGGAACCTCGCGCACCCCGCCGCAGGCGGCCTCCGAAAGCCGCGTGGCTCGACAAGCCTCCTGACCTTCGCGTCAAAAGCCGTGGCGGAGAGCTCCATGGTCACTGGTAGATGCGGCCACGTCTCCGCGTCGACGACCACTGGTTGCCGAACGCGAGGCAGCAAACGGCAAGAAACCATGAACATGTCAATGGTGCGGCCAGGAAGGCTCTGAAGACAAGTCGGCTCTCTCGGCGCCAGCACCACGCCATTGGCCGACTGGAGCCAGGACAACGGGCCGAGCTCGCCTACCTCCATGTTGAAGTCGCCTCCTACGATCCACGGAACACCCATGGCCTCCAGCGACCTGACATACTGGTACAGCTTGTACAGCATGGCCAGGTTCTCGGGCGACAGCTTGACGTCCACAATGAAATAGCACGACAGCATGACGAAGCCGCCCTTCACCCCAGCGTGGACGTGGGCCGCCATCATCCTGCCTTCCTGCAGCACGTGACTGTCCAGGCCTGGGGGTTTGGTGATGACCACCCGCAGCGGGGCCAGCACCGCAACCCCGCCTCTGCTGCCAACTCCCTGCCCAGGTAGGGCGGGCTCCCATATACCATGGTACCCAGCAGCTCTTACTTTATTCTGCAACTTCGCCAAAGCATCGCCCTCGGCCTTGGCATGATGTTCCTGCACCGCGATGCAAAAACTCGAGCACGTGGGCAGGAAGTCGACGAGCGGGCCGCCCGAGGACACGTTCACGGTGGTGATACTTGAAACCGACGCCATGGTGCGACAAAGGAGGACGAACCACACAAGACACGCAAAACATCGCCGTGGAGCCATGCTAGGCAGGGGTGAGCCTGGGCCTCTTGACCTTCGCACCCCAACGCATGAAGATCTCCTCCAGCCTGTGCTTCTCGCCCCCAGCCGCAACGACTTCCTCCATGAACTCAGGGTCGTCGGAGAAGGCAGATGGCTGTGGTGTGCGAGGCGCTGCCGCGTCGTCCTGCCGCTCGGCCTGCTCAACGTCGGGACCAGCCTCGGCCCCAGCATCCGCCTGCGCCTTCTGGGCAGCCAACTTTGCCGCCTCCTCCTCCTGCAACCTCTGCAGCTCCTGGAAGCTCGCCGTGAGGCTGCCCGACAGCTGGTGATCGGCGCCCAGGCTCTGGAGCAAGATCCCGAGGCCCTCGAGCGTGGCACCAACCCCCTTGATCGGCTCGTCGAGCGACGCCTTGTCGCCAGGCGTCGGAACCTGCCCTTGAAGCCTCTTGCGCTCCTGGTCCAGCTCCTCCATGCTAGCGTCGAGGGCCGCCAGCTTGTCCCGAGTGAGCCGTTCCTTCTCCTGCAGGTCGCGCAACTGCACCTGCAGCCCATCGAGCTTGGTCTGCTGGTCGTCGCGCAGCTTCTGCAGCCTGGTGAACTGAGTTCCCATCTCGCGCAAGCGCTGTCCGAGCGGTCGGGACTCCGCCACCCTAGCCCGCAGCTCGGCCTGCTCGGCCAGCAGCTTGTCGCGCGTGGCCACGACCGACGGCTCGGTGATGCCCTAGAGCTTGCCGATGAGGTCGCCGACCTCGCGTAGCCTGTCCTTGGCGACGGACTCGGGGCCGTCTCCGTCCGCGGCCGGCTCCATCTGCACGTCCTCCCCGCCAGGCGGCGGCCTCTGCACAGCGGCAAGCCGCTTGCGGGCCTCGGCGAGCTCGGACTTGAGATTGGCCACCTTGACGGAGTCGTCCCAGTAGCCGTTGCCGCTGCCGCCCTGATTGCCCTTCCTCCGCTGGGAGGGGGCCGAGGGCTGGCGCACGCTGTGGAAGACCAGTCCCTTGCCCAGCTTGCACTTCGCACACTGCCGCGCCTCTGCATGATTCCACCACGGTCTCCCCGAAGGCCCGCAGCAGCTCTTGCAGTACCAAGGAAGCGCCTGCTCCGAACGGTAATGCGGCGGTGGCATCTCCACGACCCCAGGCAGCAGCACACACGGTGGGCCGTGGCAGCGCGATCTGGAAAGGACTGGGTGTGGGCGCCCAACTCCCACGGTGAAGGCGAACGGTGGTCTGGCCGCGGACTAGCGGTATCCGTGCGGTCCCCAGGGGAACCAATCATCTTGAGCCAAAATGGCTACG